TTTTAAAAAGAAAAGAATTTTGGGAAAATTTGTTTGATCAGGCCCGTACTCGTGCTTAATTAACATCCCCGCAGCGACTGACCGGTCTAGGGTGGTCTAATCGACGACTATGGCATTTGTTTTATTTATTGTAGGCGTACTTGCGAGTAGCTTTTGCTCATCTTCATGTCGCACACAACAAGTTTTAGCTCACTTTCTTAATTCTTGTGGTAGGCAGATTATTGAAGAGTCACTTCATTAGCCTATTTATTCGGGTGAAAGGGGTTTGACGTTAACGTATATTTCAAAGTGTAACAAAAAAAATTAAAGCAGCTGTAACTACAATGATAACAATAAAATGTTTTTAAAATAACGGCGGGGTCTGGACACAGTAAAGCAATGCGAAAATGATGCTACGATAAATGTGTGTGTACATAATGCTAATATGTTCTCTGCAATTCCGTACGTAGGTTAGGGAGTCTTAAAAAAGCCTTGCATGCGATGAAGCATGTAGTGACTAGTTCCGTAGAAAACTTTTACTATTTTTTAGTCTATAACTTATGAATTCAACTTCTATTGGAAATGGTACGGAGCGGTCCACTGAAAACTCGTTATGTGGAACAAATTGCAATTTCCAAAATTTCTCAGCAAAAGTGGTTAAGTCCTGGTATGTGATAATTCTAAATTGGAATGGAAACTTTGGACTGGCTTGGGCAATTTTTGGATCCTAACATATAAAACGATTAAACTTTTACTACGTTAGATTGCGTTTTGGCCCCACTTCATATAGGAACCAGATATAATTTTTATGTGCTATAATAAAAAAAATAAGAATTGTGTTAGACAATGTGGTGGACAAGGTAACGGGCGGCCTTGCGCGACTATAATGTTCTTACTTGTTTTTATATGCATCTATTTGTAGATTTAGATGGCCTCCGCTTAACGCGGTTGATTCGTACCGTCCCCCATTGAAATCATGTTATACAAAACTTTTTTTTTTATTTAAACTAAAATATTATATAGAATAACATTTAATCTTAGATATGAATCAAGAAAATGTGCACTTTTGTATATCAAGAATGGCAATGTGTGCCATGTTGTATCAAAACCGAGTCTTAAAGTTTAAAATTTTACGATACAAATTTTATGAAATTTCTTTTCAAACGTACATATAGATGAACAAGTACGTTAACTTTACCTTCTCATAAAGAAACATGTAAGGAAGTTGGATTCGGCTGGGGTCGAATCTTTCATACCCACCACCATTCAAATCTTTAGCGCCGCATGCTTTTATATATTGTCATAAAATGCGAATGGGATAAAATTTATCTTATCGCTACAAAGTATTCTTAAGGAAAATTAATCTATCTTGTCATAATGTCCACCATAATTAATTTGGAATTACTACAATTAGCTTTTCGCATTCTACTCTCCAAGCCCGTATATTTGATACCCGTATGAACGGTGTTTACAAAAAAAAGATTTAAAACATGATGGCAAAGTTAATATAACCCCCATCCTTCAGCAGCGCGTATAAAAACATAAAATTCATCATTGTGATGAAATCCAAAAATGAAAAATATACGCAAAAAATAAGAATGACGATCAAAAAATTAATAAAATTCACACTGCTCTCATGAACGGTAGGATAAAAGTAGAAGCAAAGGTAAAAAAACTCATATTCGATATTTTGAGATGTGCGGCAAATTTTGAAACGTGTCGTAATAAACCCGTTCTTTACAAGTACGTGCGGTTGCGTACAAGTGCGGGACCCCTTTAGGAGTACGGGGATTTTCTTATATAAACCTTCACCTTAGGTGCTGCAATTTCTAATATTACTTGCATTGAATTTTTATTCGCAAAAAGCGGTTTGAATTTACCTGGGAACACCGAAGACGTTTGTAAAGTGAAAGACGTCTTTATTTGTTAGAAGACAGGCGTGCTCTTCTTCCCAGCCTTTATTCCGCTAAGTCTTTTCTAATACAAAATATGTTTTCGTAGAAGTTTCTAAAGGTATATACTCTCCCTCGAAGAGTTGTATTTTCTACATTTTCTTTTTCTTTGATTAATGAGAAGCGGTCAACTTTAAGTCTAACAAATAAAACCATTATATTCGGTCGTGACGGAACCTTTCATATCAGTCATCGTAGTCGGAAACGATCTAAATTTTCATGTATCTCTATTTTTAGAACAAAAGTGGAGATTTATTGGTGTATGTGTTGTACCTTATGAGCAACATGCAAAGAATATGGAAAACCAAGGGGTTCACAAGTATGAAACTTTGAAAAGTTTAGGTCGTTTTTAAATTGCTTTGCAAGTTTTAAGCGACGTCTTTATTTCAGCGAACGGGAGAATGTTTGCCACCGATGCTCCACAGTTGCGCGAACGGACAGATGGACAGATGAATGGGCGAACATGGTTAGGCGCATTCCGCATTTGAAACTGGAAAAGACTTCATGTATTTTATGGGGTTTTTGAACCTTACTTCTGTGCGTTTTAAGAATTTTGAAAAAAAAATAAAAATTTGTGACACTCCATAAAATTAAGTAGACGTGGCCGATTTTTTTCATTCTTGTAGAGGTACTACAACATCCCTCATAGATTGTAAAGGTCAATTTTTGTAGATTTGTCTGCTGTAGTTGGGCAAAGAGCAAAATGCCAATATTTTATTCCTTTTGAAAGGCAGCAACATCCTCACTTTACGTAGTGCTGTAGGTGTTTTCTTCGGTCGCTTTAGCCCATTTTCAATACCAACCTGCGTGCAATCACTTCCAATGTTTCTGACAAATTAGAAGCCCATAGTTTCATTTTTGCGGCCAGGACAATATTTATAATAAATACTACACAGACGTACGGACGGCCAGACAGGCGCGCTTAAATAGATTTAGAATTTGATTTTGATCAAGAATATATATACTTTATGGGGTCTCTAACGTTTCATTCAAGCCTTGCAAAAGTTTGGATAAAATGGCTATACTACTTATATTTCGGTGATGGGTGTAAGAAGACAAGGCACAATTTTTTCACGTAATCCTTCGCTGAAAAAGAGTTATGCTCCTATTATTACATTTTATATAGTAAAAACTTTATATTGTCAGAATGACGGAATTCTTCGACGAATAAACGGAATATATTGTATTTCTCTCGTAATTTCAACTTCAACACAATTTTTATTCGTGTAAATTAAAGACTTAGACGGTTAATGTTGTTTTACCGTTCACATTAGAAACATTTTGAGTATTTTTTTGAAACTATTGGTTGAGGTCTAGAACAAATTTCTTTAACGTTTTACTTTCTTTGCGATTTTTGTTTTAATAAGATGAATACAAATTTCCGGTAGCAAAGCGTCAGAATTGTAGCTGAGGAAGATTAGGTACAGTTTTCTATGTAGAGACTGAAACAGGAGTACTTTTTAGTTGCGCACCTTATTTCGTTTTCTTTCAATAGGAGTCTTTGTAACCAAGTAAAAACATTATAGTGGACCACGGCCCCCACAGTATAAACACTCTACAGTTTAAAAAAAAGACGTTATGTGGTCAGGGGTCGGATCCGAAACATTTATCTCAAAAATTCTGACTTGTGGCTTACACATAAATTGATATGAATGGAGATCAATCGGACGGACGGACAGACAGCTTTCGATATAATAAAAAGTAGGTCTGTGTTAAGCCCTTCTGCCTGTTACAAGTGATGGAAGGTATAACAAGGTCGAAATTGTTTAAATGAGAAAGAAAGTCTAAAAAGAAAGTCTTTTTTTTGACAATTTTTGAGATGGAAGAATCGATAATGGAATGCCAATATTCAATACATACCTAAGAATTAAAAAATTGTCTTTTCTTAAAAGTACTAAAAAATGACCAAATCTATTCTCATTAGATCATAAAACAGCTGATGCAAATTTTCACACAAAAAAAAGCCATCTAATCTACATCAAGTATAAAGATGATTTTTGAAATCTTTAGTTTTAGTGCAATTGAAAAATGTTTGAAAGGAAAGAATTCGAAAAGCTTGTTCCGAGAGTAAAGCGTTTAAAGTTGTGCAAAGTGAAATGCAACAAATTTTTTATTATTATTATTTTTTAGGCTTTTAGCCTACGATTCCTGGTTTTTAAAGAAACTTTTCATCGTGTACTTTTCTCGAAGCTTTTGCAGCATCTCTCAACCACTCGAATGTTTTACGTTTTACACGCAAAAGGGAAAAACTATTTATAATCCTTCAGTCGCATAATTCGTACTTACAATTAAAATCAAATCTTTTTGAACTGCTCTCAGCTCTATATCCATTCAACGATCCTCTCGATGATATACTTGCGCAAACGTATTTTTATTTGGAAAAGCTTTGAAATAATCGATTTCAAAAAATGTCGGTTATCAAAATTGAGTAATTTCAAATCAATAGGTATTAGGTATAGTAGATTGGCAGGGTGTTGCGCTTATCTAGATTCTTCCTTTGTAGCGCGTTCTGTAAAGCACGAAATCTGCAAGGATTGAAAATATTCATTCTTTAGGTACGTTTTTTTCACATATTCCAAAAGGTTCAAAATCGTCAATTAAAGCCATTAAAGAAGTTAATTGATAGCTACAAGGACTCATAGATAGATAGATAGAACTCCGCTTATCATACATATTAGTGTCTATTTAAATGAACTGAGATTGATTTTAATTAGCGTTTCGCTTGCGATGAAAAGTCTGCTAAAGAAATTTAAATATTTCTGATCGATACCACTGAAGGAAGCATAAACGAGACAAGCGGATTAGAAAGAAATTTTTTTTCTTCTTTTTAAATATTTGTAATATAATATGTGAAAAAATTTATTTTAAAATATTTGACAGCAAATTTTCAATTACACTTTTATTGATTTTAGATATAATTTTCCAATTATTGATTTATTATTATATTAATTTATCCATTTTAATAAAGTTGTTTAAAAAATAAATATGGTATATTTACCATAGTTTGCTTTTATAGAAAAGAAATGTATATATATATATATATTGCTTTTACTCTTTACACATATATAGAAACTCCTACAAATGAAAGAGAGGAACTGTTCATACAAAAGTTGAGACAATGCTGTACATTGTTCGATTTTTCCGAGCCATTAAGCGACCTAAAATGGAAGGAAGTGAAGCGTGCTGCTCTTCATGAGATGGTAGAATATTTATCAAATCAAAATGGTGTTATAACAGAAACTATTTATCCCGAGGCAATAAATATGGTATATACCCTATAATCAATAAGTTTTTCTGCAACAGACTGTTTCATTGTATAAATATTTGCCTTTCTTCTTCTATTTCTTCTTCCTCTTTTTATATTTTTACATAAGTTTGCCGTAAATTTGTTTCGTACTTTGCCTCCGTCTTCTAATCCGAATGGTGCTGAATTCGATCCGGAGGAGGACGAGCCGACATTAGAAAGCTCTTGGCCCCATTTACAATTTGTTTATGAATTGTTTTTGCGATTTTTGGAATCGCCTGATTTTCAACCGAATATAGCGAAACGTTACATAGATCATCATTTTGTTTTGCAACTATTGGAATTGTTTGATTCTGAGGATCCACGGGAACGTGATTTCCTAAAGACTGTATTGCATCGTATTTATGGAAAATTCTTAGGTTTGCGAGCATTTATACGTAAACAAATTAATAATGTCTTCTATAGGTGAGTGATTCATTAATTTAGTTTAACTTAATGTAAAAATAATTATATAAAAATAATTTTTTTTTATTTTTTTTATTATTTTTATTTTGCAAGATTCATTTATGAGACGGAGCACCACAATGGTATAGCTGAGCTACTAGAAATCTTAGGCAGCATTATTAATGGTTTTGCTTTGCCATTGAAAGAGGAGCATAAGCAATTCTTGCTTAAAGTTCTATTGCCTTTGCATAAAGCTAAAAGTCTATCGGTTTATCATCCGCAGTTAACATATTGTGTGGTACAATTTCTTGAAAAAGATCCAAGTCTTGCCGAACCGGTTATAAAGTATAAAAAATATATCAACAATTTCAACTTAAAAATAATTTATTATTTGCTTTTACTATTTAAAAAGGAGTCTTTTGAAATTCTGGCCGAAAACCCACAGTCCCAAAGAAGTAATGTTTTTAAATGAACTAGAAGAATTGCTGGACGTTATTGAGCCAGCTGAATTTCAAAAGGTGATGGTGCCGCTCTTCCGTCAGATTGCCAAATGTGTTTCTTCGCCACATTTTCAGGTGGCCGAGCGTGCTCTCTACTATTGGAACAACGAGTACATAATGTCTTTAATATCCGATAATTCACAAGTAATTTTGCCTATAATGTTCCCTGCTTTAAATCGAAATTCCAAAACCCATTGGAATAAGACAATTCATGGCTTAATCTATAACGCTCTGAAATTGTTTATGGAAATGAATCAGCGTTTGTTTGACGAATGCAGCAAAAATTATAGACAAGAAAAACAAATGTAAGTGTATAAAAGAAGACTAAAAAACAAAAAAAAAAACCGCAACGGATATTTGTTGTTAAGTATTTAACGTGGTTACATTATAGGGAGCGCGACAAAACAAGTCAACGCGAAGAGCTATGGCAACAAGTAGAACATATGGCCAAAAATAATCCAGATTGGTCAAAAATTTGTGGCCAAATGGATAGTTTAAGTATTTCAAGCAGTCAAAACGAATTCGACCAGGATAATGACATATGCGATTTGACCTACGACAAATTGGATTTTGATGATAATCAACTGCAACAACAGCAGTCAATGCAGCTTAATAAAATAATGCAGGAAAGAGAGGTAATATTAGAGTAATTGTTATTTTAACACGAAGACCTATAAATATATCTAATAGCTATATCCAGAAATCTTAAACTAGTCTTTTAAATGACTCTCCATTTGATTAATCAAGGGTATTCGTATCATAAAAACATTCTGAAAAACCAAAAAAAAAAAAAAAATTTTTAAAAATATAATAATTTTTTTGGACAACGACAATAATTGTTCAAATTATTGTGCTAAAGTCCAAAAACATGTGGTCCCAGTGATCCTGTAGTGACTTGCAAAAAGGAAAAATCTACAAATCCGTTATCTTTTTACCAGATTGTCTGATAGTTATGAGCAATCAACGAAAATCAAATGAAATCGAGGAACAAAATGTTGATTTCTTTGCTTTTATTTTACTAATGACTGGAACATACAACATATATGACGGTCCTTCCTTCGTTATAGGCAGAAGAAATTCATTGACTCATAAGAAAATAGAGGATTGCGTTCTGTTTTTTCGCAAGCCAGTTCAACTTAATTTATGTATTTTCCCAATTTGCATACAAGGACGATATCGTCATTTTGACTAAGCTCTTCCGAGACGCAGTGAACGTAATTTCATGTACGCCAAGCTTAGTCATCAAAATTTGCTTAGTCATTTACGACTTTAGATGATCGACTTTTAATTTTTATAGGCTTGGCATTATAATCGACCACCTTAATAGACATTACGGATACGATGGAATGGTTTCTATGTCATGTAATAGAATTCACTTTGAAATACTTGCTGGTGCGAATACCCTTACCGTGGCTTAAAAATATATTCGATAGATAGAATATTTATATTTATTTTATATTATAGTTTAGCCGCGTTTCTTTACATTTGTGCATATGTATATGGCGTCATTTATTAATACATTCATGGCAATTTTTATATCTTAATTAACCCTTTAACAGTAGTTTTTTCTTGCGCTAGACGTTACTAATTGAAAAATTGGTATTTGGGTTGTCCTTAAAAACGAATTTGTGTAAATAATTTTGTACATAATTTTTGGTGTTTGTATACTTTCGTTGTCCTTGGTTGGTAATTGGTTTGTTGTTGTTTCTTTAAAAGACACACCAGTGCAATACGTGTTCAATTTTCTATCCCCCATAGAAATCACCACGTAATAAGGATAAACCATTGCTTCGACGAAAATCTGATTTGCCTGCTGATAGCGGCACAGTACGAGCTCTTATCGAACATAAAAGGCCCGATGAATATTTGAAAACACCACCTGATGTTAACAAGTGTTAAATGCACACAAATATATACAAACAAAAAAAATATATATACATATATAAACGCATAGTACAGCCAACCGCCGCATATTGATAGTTAAAGAAAGAAAAAGAAATCAACAACAACAACAACAACAACAACAAGAACAACCGCAAACGTTACGCAAAGTTAAAAGTCAGCATAGAATGATTGAAATTTTCTTAAACGAATTTTATTAATGTTAGTTTTAAAGAAATTGTCACAAAACTTGAAGAAAATTTTTGGCGGATATTTTTACATTTACATATACATATTTATATATATATATATACCCTAACTAAAGCAAAATATAATGTCTAGTTGTGGAGATATCAGCATCAATTGCATTCAACATACGATTTTAAAGAATACTTTTTTATATACTATCACACAATTGACAATATAATAAATATCAAACATATATATATAAAAACAAATATGTACGCACATGTATTCGTGTTATTTGTTATTGCATACTTATTTCTGTTATTGATGTTTTGGTGAAAATTTGAAGAACGTCTCTTCGCCTTGCATGCAACGACTTGAAGATTTACTCATTACTAATGGTTTTGTGTCGCGTATAAAGTTCATATCGTTGAGAAAAACACTTACTATTAAGTCTTCTTATAAAGGTTGCAATCACTACGCTTCTGCAATAAGCTTTGCTCCAAGAGGACAAAGAGGTTTGGTTTTTTTTATGTCTATTGCTTTAAATTGTTTGCAATTTTGATTAGTGCAAGATAGAGCGACTATTTAGCGACTTCAGCACATCTGCTCTTCAGGATTTAAGTAGGCAAATATCAAATCAAATATTACCAGGCACCGGTGTTTTAAAGGCGATAAGGCGCGTTTGAGGATTCTCAGCAAATACAAGCCCCCCCTTATATGCCAAAAAGACAAATATGTTGGATAGAAATTTGCGCATGAAAGTAATTTGACATAAAAAACTGAACAGACGAAATTTGAATCACATAGGACTGTTTCTTCGAGCCCACTCTATATAAGATTTCCCTTTAACAATAAGCCCTTGAAAAAGATTTAATATTTAATATTTTATGATGAAAATTGATCCGTAGCAGCAATTTAGCAAAAAAACTAACGGTGGAGAATTTAGACTGTATTGGTAAATTTTTTAGATCGTAACATACACAGGCTATTTTATGAAAACCAACTCCTTCTGTAGAAAGAAAGTCTAATTTGTAGTTCTTCATGACGTAAACTGAAAAATAATAAAATTTTTGGGAAGTGAACTAAATTTGCTTAATTTAGACCAAATCAGGTGATCTTTTTGGTATCCTCCAATACGCCGGCTTTCATAAAAAAGGTACGCTTGAAAATAGTGTGTAATTTTTAATGTTTCATTACCAAGACAAGTGAATGACTGTAACAGGCGAAGTGCTGCAGGGTATGTAAGTTCTTTAGGCGTGTAAGTAAAGTTTATATTCAGCCAAATTACATAATCTTGAGAGTAAAATTCTTAACTTACTTGCCGTTAAAGAAGATCTTAAACGACGAAACGAATAAGTACAAATAGGAATAAGCAAAAAGAAAAATGGAAATCCTCGTCTAGCACTTATAACTCTAGTGAAATATATCGATTAAAACTGCACCGCATGGAACATTATTTAGTAGGATGGTGGAGCGCATATCAATAATAATTTGAAATTTAGAATTTAGAAAAATGACGTCGTCAGTACACAGGTCTTACGTAGACTAGTTTTAATGAAACCAACCGAATTTGATGAAGAAACTAGATTACAAATCGGATCCTAAGTAGGTTAAAAAGTTCATAATACAACGCGCAGGGCCTAAGTTCTCAACGCAGAAAGTTCCTTGTCGAGCGGATAGGAAAATTAACACTAATTTTACTTAATAAAAAAGGCGAGTCCATTTACCAACTTTACCATAAAGACAACGCCGAGGACTAGTCTAAGTTTCTTGAGCGACGCCATAGGTATAAGAAGAATGTGTCATGTTTTGGTAAAGGGACACGTCGATCGTAACCCAAATTTCCAAGCGCAAAAGGCGGAAATCGTTTCTGCAAGGATTCAATAAAATTAACATTGCAGCGATGGAAAGGTAATAATATAACCGACGTATATCCCAGTATTGGTCGTACTAAGCTAATTTCGTTACATATAAGCGATCAAATTCGTTTGACCGGCGTTTAAAGAAGCCGAACACGAATTGACCCTTATGTTCAATATGTAAACTAAATCTGAATTTATGGTCAAACAGAACACGTAAATCAAGAATTGAGTCCATATTATTCCAAGCTAAGTAAACTAATAAAATATTCCGAGACTATTCTAAATTGATGTGAAAATTTTGGATCGGACGGGACAATTTTTTGAATTCCACTGAATTTTTGTATGCTAAAAGGGCCTAACCCTTAATACTTGCCCGTGAAAATTCGTTCATTCAGCCTGAGACAATTGACAAAGAGACAGGGAATTTTTTTTAGATTTTCTCTAAAACATTAATTAAATTTATTTGTTTAGCTGGATTGGAAATTGTGTAAATATCTTTCAAATCTGAACAAAAAATATTCCTGTCTATAAACAAAATCTTATGCATTAAAACTTTTCTTTTTTTTTATTTAAAACAATGTTTCCCTAACTTTATTAATGTTTTTTTATGCGAAACAAATTTTATTTATATAAATACACTTTGTATAAAAAATACCTTTTTAAATGAAATGAAAAATTGTACATATTTTTTCTCATCAATTTTTTGTGTAAGTTATTTGAATACACAGAGTATTCTGGATATTATTGAGAAGACAATCTCTACACACAAATGAAAAGATGAATGACAATTCCACCGCTTAAACTATATATACAAGAAATGAACTATAAAAAAATAAGGAGGGGGAGATCTTAAAAAATTTATTAACAACTGTAAAATAACCTACTGATGAAATATCTTTTATAATTAAACAGGAATTTGATGATAATTACCAGTTGAAATTGTTCCATTTTGTAAATCATTGTAGCAACGATATCCGTACTTGTTTAAGCAACTTGAGATTTCCCTAAAAATATGCTTCGATTTTCTGATGCATGTCCGTCTGTCTCTCGTGAAGGCTGCTTTTAACATTCCGAAGTTTAATAAAAACTTCTGAGTACGAATCACTTTTCCAAATTGCTTGCCAGTCTGCGAGCTTCTTCTTTGAATAAGACAATGTGAAAATATTGAGTTTTTTATTTGTCTGTTATTGTTATGTTAGAAAACATCGTATAAAAAATTGTAACATACATTTTTAATCATTACCTCCTGATAAAACAAAGACGCGGCTAACACTATATACACCACGATTTTGTGCATATCTATTCCGACCACGAGTTGTCGTTTGACGCCTTTGCGTTTGAATGCAAACAATTGCCAAAACTGTCGGAATTTAAAATTATCAGTTAACTATGTCTAATTTGTGAAAAACAACTGAAACAATTATTAAAAAATATTACATTCTTCATTTTTTTAATTTTTATTAGAAAGATAGTGAGACGTTGTAATCTCATTAATTTAATGACCTTTCATTCTCATGTATAAAAATTCAATCATTGTAACAAACAAAACACGCACACACCCAAAAACAACATTCTGCTAAAATTTTTTCCTTCTTTATTAACACAATTTTTAGAAATCAATGGTTGCTCTACTAAGCGCTTTCCACCCGTAACCCAAGCAGGTTCCCGTTGCTGATCAATACTTTATTTGGCACTTTTTTTGTCGACTTGGAAAGGATGTGGTTTTAGTTGAGACTGATGAACGTTCTAGATGTTTTCTATAATCCGTTGCAAGTTCTTCTCCTAACTACAATAAAAAGTCTTGACGTGAAATATTTTCACTTCTTGTTTCCCACGCGTTTATGACGGTTAAATCGAGGATGTTTTAAAATACATAGGAAGGATTTCCAAGTCATTTACCTTGTCTTGAGCTTAGCAAAAATACTTTTTTGTTCAGTTTGCTTTTATAGCTTCTTAGAGAAGAATCATTATAATGCAGTTCTCTCTTATTTTGACGGATAGCTCCAACTAAAGAAGTTTCTTTTTCGCAAAATCTTTGAGAAGAGAAGAAGTTATGAAAAAATTGTTGGTTCTGCTGCAACCAATAAATGGTTCAACTAGGAGTTAAAACGGCAGACTCATCGAATGAAATTAATATCGGTCTCATTTCACCTTTCCCTAAGTATGGAAAACCATACACAACATATTTGCTTTTCTGAGTAGACGGCAACCAAAATTTGGTGCCAAATGTATTGGGCGTATTCACCATGCATTGGATGAACCTGTATTTAGATTTCATTGGGAAAAGCTGCTCATCTTTTGTGATATATACGACTGGGTTGTAACAGGATTGCATTTTCATTTCATAAAAAGGATGCATTAACATTTTTTTGTTTATATGCGCCGCATTCATATAAAATCACTATAAATGTCTCTAATTTATTGCGAGTTTGGTAAACTTCACTCTTTTTCTAGAATCCTTGGACCTTTTTTTCCTTACATTTTATAGAGTATTCCCTATTATTGTCAAAAGCTGAATAAAATGCGGTGCTTACTTTGCCCATCATAATATTTCGTTTGGCCTATCCGGATGGACCACATACATCTTCGAAAGTGGTATAAAGGGTTGGTCTGCCAGGAGGGAAACTTGATTGGACCCTTCCCCAACCTATTCCATCAACAGCAATTTTAGTATTTTTCTGTACATTGCTTTGTTCACTGCCGTCTTCAGAATCCGTCATCAATTTTATTCTCTTGCGTGCTTTACTTGCATTGAAATTATCTTCCTCTTCATTAGTGCTTGCCGAGTAATTTCGATAGTCGCTATTGAATTCGAAAAAATCATTTCACTCATCTTCACTTTCAGATTGTATACTTTCATCAATCTGGGAGCATTCTTCACTTATGTTTTTTATTTTCTGCAATAACTCCCCCTTTATTGAAATTCGGGACATCCCGAAGAATAATTTGAGAAATAAAACTATTACAAACAGGTTTACTGCGCACTTACGTGTAACACTAGTTGCAACAATGTGTTTTTTTCACAAAAAAAGATTAAGAAATAGAAATAATTACCAGAATTGCAAACAAGTTTACTGCATACTTGATTGTAA